GTAAAAGCAAAAAGCTCAGGCACCAACTCCGGCGAATTGTGCCCCCTGTCAGAACGAGTAGATGTGTGTAGTAGCCCACGCAGGGTCAGGCTGCTGTGGCGGTAGTTGGCGAACTCCCGACATCAGTAGGCCAGACTCCCTTGTGCGCCACCGCTAGCACAACAGAGTTCTTAAATGGCAGCGTTTAACTAGACCCGCCACAGAATCGGTGTTTGCTTACTGCCTGCATTTCGGCCACATGACCCCACAGCATTAAGACCGAGGTGTAACTCTTTCGCGATCGGTGTCGATCTGAAGGGCTCTGCTGCTTTTCGGTGGCGCCACCGAGTGGCTCCTTGCGAATACACCCTTAGGCTTTCTCCGGAGACAATCATGAATCAATACCAATGAGCCTGAAAATTGTATAGACACTTGCAGTCGCCCCTGAGTAAACGTGAATGTAATTATTGTGCATTTGTGTTCATTCTGATGCAGTGAAATAAACAATATCAAGAATAGGGCATGTACTGTATGTAAAGCTTACTCTAAATATTCACTACTGGTGTTGACGGTGACACTTGAGGACTGGGGAGGAGGACGACCCAACGAAAATGACGAGTTCGTTGGTGTACATGGAAAAGTGAGACAGACTAATAATCCAAATTACAGTGAACTATCACAAGAAAATAATTTTTCACTCGGTAGCAAAAGTAAAAATAGAAATCTTAAATGTACTCGTATAATACACTGTGCGAAATTTCGACCTTCGTTAACTATGTATCAAAATTGAATAGTAATCAGATTAATCCTGGTATTTGGTAAAAAAAAGTCAAGTGTCGTGAACTAATTAATGTTCCATCTCTCCCGTAGTCTTTCAAGAGAAATGGGGTATGAGTTGTAGAATCTCCCTGAGAAATACATATTCGTGTGAGAGTATCATGTTTACCGTGAGCTAAAAGGAACGGAGTGACGTCTGTTCTGCAGCCTACGGTGAACTCGGAGCATTACAACAATGAAAGTTATTCATAATTCAAACAATAACAATACGAACAATTACATTTATTACGTGCTTGTTTATGTAACACAGAGAAAGTTGTATATCGCTGCTAAAGTTTGCAGGAGTTTTACTGAAAACCGGAGAATCAATTTTTGTAAGCATAGTTTGCCCCAATTGGGTAAAATAATTAAAGAAATATTTTGGGGCCATTTTTAAAAAAAATTTGAAAGTGTTCTAAGGACTTAATGTCAAATTAATAGTCAGTCCCAATTCTGCTGCTTCAATTTCCTCATAGCTTATGGTTTCTATGAGTTTGAGCATTTGGGAGAAATTTATGTTCTCAATTTTGTAGTACAATACAAGAATTATTTTAAAAATTAATTTATCTTCTATTGTACAAAAGTGAAATAGTTTACAATAGAATACAATATAGTTGTTTATAAAAGAATATAACACACAAATAATAGAACCACAGGTGTAATTGCTCCCAAATTTGGCACGAGTATCTTTGAACGAACAAAAATAAAACTTGTTTAATTTCAAAACAAAATGTTACCTCAAAATGTGCATATCAACACTCTTACACGGAAACTAGTACTTACCTTCACTGTTTATTGACTGGTAAGTGTTAAAAATTTTCATCATGCATAACAATTGAGTGCAAAGTAAACCACAAAATTATGAGGCGATATGGATAACCTGGTTGCCCCTTCGCATGTTGAGAATGATCCCAAGATTATATATGTACTTGTTTCAATGAATTTGTACTAAAACGTAAAGTATGCACCACGTATGAAAGTGTCTTCGGCGTAGTAATTTCAAAATGTCGTTTTCGGCTCCTGTCGTCGCCTCGTCTGTAACATTTCCTTCGTATGCAAAGACTCACTTTCTGCACTTTACGTAAATAGCTATTTTAAAAATATCCCAAAAAATATTTTTAAACATACGAGTTCTTTCCATTTTAGCTTAATTATTATTAAAAACAAAATACGAAATAAGAGAACTGAGAGCAAAGAACGGTGTGTAAGTGTTGACCTGAGGCATTTATTAGAAGTATAACGGGTAATAAAAGAATTAATAAGCGATATTCAAACTGAAAATTAATGTGGTTGTTTATTTTACATTCAATTGTGTAATGTGAACAGTTTCCATTTAGAATCACCGCAGGGCTAGGCGGGGGGATGACAGGGGGTCGCGGGAATACACTAGAATACACAGAAGTAGGTGGAACAGGGTGGGAATATGTAGAAATACTTTTTCTTTCTAATAGATGATTGTGATAAATAAATACCCAGGAAAAATGGGGTACTTAAGTTTGATATTAACAAATTAAAAAATATTTTTAATGAAAATTGTATATCTATATCTATATATATTCAAGAAATATTTTAAAACACCTAATTCCAACTTTTCAATAGAACCTTCTTAAAATTTCAGATATTTTGCGGCAGCCATTTCTACGGTTTATTTGTTCTCTTTTTCTTGCACAATTTCCACGCAGTGTTGGTCAGGGTCTATGCCGTAGTGCATTTCGTTGCCTTTGCGATATGCCCACGACATCCTCTTGGAGATGAAAGCGACTCCCACGTCGCCTTTGTTGGAGAGAGTGATGGCCCCGGCAGTGTTATTGAGTCGCCGTCCCAACTCGTCCAGGGCTCTCTGAGTGGCATCTTGCGCTGAAAGACCTTTGAACAAAAGACAACAAAATAGCTCTTTGTGACATAAGTGTAAAAAATATTATCTATTTCGTCGCATGGAAGCTTTAAGATTCAGTGTCAAAATTCGAGAGAAAAAAAACTACCAGAATGTATACCGCACTATTTTTAGACAGTTTCTTCAATGTATGGTTCAACTTTGTATTATATTTTATTCCACTTTCCTATAATAGAACAATGGTCATTGTTGAACCGCAAGATTCTTGTCTATTATACAACAATGAACAGTTCAACATGGTTTTTTCTTACTCTTTCCTTTCTAATTCTTATTCTTCTTCTCCTTTCCTTTATCTTTTCCTTTATTCCTCTTTCTTCGTCTTATTCTTATCCTTATTGTGTACAACTGTTGTTTGTTAATTAAATGGATATTTAAATCTTTTTACTTTCTCGTTTGTTTACACATAAACGACAAAAATATCGCACCTAATCTCAAATAGAAATAATTGTAACCTACCATTGGTGTACATTAAGAGCAATGGGCGTATATTTCAAACGTGACGCCTAAAAAATAGTTTATAATTTCCCTTGAATCCCGCGAACGTCAGTGCAAAGAAAAAACAAAGTAAGAACAGGGAATAAACGCTCGAACTCTTCGCGAACAGCCGCAGAGCGCTGCACCTCCTCGAGCCACGCCCACGCCAGCAAACGAAATTGTCGCTTTTCCAAGAAATCAGCTATTGTCACTTACGAATCTATTAACACTAACGATAACCGGACCAGCTGTCTTCTTTGGGTGTCTTGTTTTCGAAGTTCCGTGGCGCTATGTTCTCCGTGATTCAGATGCGTTTGGTGCGGCAAAGCACAATAAATACATGGTATAAACGCATGCCCGAGTAAGGTATAAGAAAAGTTAAATGGTTTGTCATTTCAGAATTGTCTCTTGCACGAACCAATAAGATGGTTCTCGCCAATGTCGTCTATCAAAGAATTTTATCTCTCCCTCCCAACAAGCCATTTCGACGTCTTAACATTGGTGCCGAAACCCGGGACAATGTTAAAGAGTGGGAATGGCTCGTTGGGCGGGAGAGGTAATATTATAATATCAATAGAATATAATTTCACCTACTGTCCTTAACTCTACGTGATTAATTCATTACTTTTTTCTCGGCTCCTCGACGAATCGAACAGATAGATGTGACGTAAATATTAGTGATTTATTTCAATAATTCATGAAAGCTAATTTATATAATAGATATTGCAACAATTGAAAAAGTAATGTCGATACTACGAAACAACAAGAAAATCAATCCTTTATAAGTTTGGATGAATTGCCACATACGTTTTATTAGCAAATGGATGTCGTACCTACCCTGTCTCATTAAGACGATGATAGAATGGGCCAAATTAGTTTTAATAATAGATTCTCCATGACCGGTGGTGGAAACAGTTCCAACGGTGTCGTCTGCATAACCACCGCATCCTTGAGAAAGAAGAAATTATTTTAGATGCGCAGAAGGCGATGTGCCGATCTGGGAGAAAACATGGCGACCTGCCACTGACCTACAAGCGGCGTGTCTCCCACGCGGCCCACCATCTTGCCCGAGGTGCCGCCCGTGGAGGTGGCGCTGGCGAGGTGGCCACGGGCGTCAATGGCGACAGCGCCCACAGTGCTGCCACTGCAAACACGGCAAGCACGCTAAGATAGAAGTACTGACACACTGAGCACAGGCAATCGGTTAGGTCCCCCCTGAAAACTTGGAAACAGCATCACGTAAAAAATGTATTTCTGTAAACTTGTCCAAATACTGATTTTCCCTCATTTAAGCTGATAATTTTGGGTAATTGCTAAACGACATTTGATGAAAATAATTTCCAAGATCTCTGGCAACCCTGTAAAAAGTTCGATTTAAGTAGTTATTTATGCACCAAGGGTGTTCTAAGGACCGAGCCACTCGCTTTAACTCTGATATAATGTAAGGTGCACGATAAAGCATACAATCAAGCAGTTGCCCTTTTATATCCCCGCAAGGGGCAACAAAAGACTGTTTTAACTCTAGAAAAGGATTGGAAACGCCACTCGGATTCGTGAGTTTTTTGGCAGTACCCATGTAGCCAAGGGAGGCGTGTCCGCCATCCGAAATAACGGCTGCGACTAGCGTTCCCACAAGTAAAAGTCCCCGCGGAGAATTGCAAACTCCCACCAGGTTGCGTAATTTCTTGGCGATATCCAAGTCGTTAGAGTCGAGAGATCAGTGCGATGCGGTGACTTGAGCCACTGGGTCCGGTAGGATATCTGGTTGACCCCTTGGGGCGGCCCGGCTGTGTTGGCTCAGGGCAATAACTGCTGTTACTGAAGCGTCTCTGACGAGAGGTCCTGAAGTTTTTACACCTAACGATGGCGGATTTTCGTCACTAACAAGGCAGTAAGGCCGAGCTCAACCGCTATCTGACTGAGCATTCTCAAGGTCGGCTGCCCAAATCGGTAGTGTCCCGACGTTTCTCTGAAGAACATAAGGCGAGTGCCATAGACCTAACAAACGAGTCACGGACCGCGTGGCAACTTTCCCCTCCTTATCGTTGATTCCGCCTCTCCGCTTGCACAAACACACTGCGATGCGCGCCGCCGGAAACGCAGGTCTCGGCTGCTAGTTTCTTCTGAAATAGAGATGACTACTAGTAGTACTGCGCTTCTCGGAACATGCAGATTTGTGGTTTATTTATGCATATATTGAACTGAACTGAACTTCCAACTGCGAGATGTGAAATACATGAGAAATGACGTGAAACGCATTTTGTAAAAGAGAAACGTCGTTTAAGGCATGATTCCCCATGACTGCTTTATCTTTTTCATTATTTAATTTTGTAACGTGTGGACGTGAGAAAATAAGAAGGTAATGGAATACAAATATCTTTTAATTTTTTACCAGTACATCTTAATCTTAAGTCGATCCTACGGTTAGTCTTCAGTTCATTGTAACGAGAAGTAATATATAAGAAATATTTAAAGATAATATATTTTAGCATATTACTAATATTATTTTGTGAATCTCTCATCTTCTTTTACGTACCAGGCTCAGTTCTAATTCATTTGGTTTTGCCCAGCCATATAGAAGTTGGCGCAAAACGTCTCTTAAACTCTTTTTGGACGTTGAGCGCTTGGGTGGAATAATCCTCCTCTATATTATCTTTGTCAAGTAGTGCCTTTTATCCCTTCGGCCAGGTGCTCGACGCCGTTAGATACCAGGATTCCTAGCCGGTAACCAACCACGAACCCGCTTAACCTCCGTGACTTAACGGAGCGTAGTAAACGAATTCACAACAATGTTATAGGTGTGTTGTTGCTGATCGCTCGAGCGCTTCCAGACGGCCTGTTCGTATTGCAATCGCAATGACACACCGGAAAGAAGTCTTGCGATTCCCGTGCTGCGTTCCCTCACTAATCACAGAAGCTACTTAAGTCCACAAGAGTGGTTCAAAGTCAAATCATGCGCACCGGCTGGGGCGGTGTCTAGCTGGAGACACATCCCACAAGGGTATGTAGGTCGGCGACGGATCTCATATCCCAGAGGGGAAGGCCTGCTCCTTCCGGGATATAGTTAATGTCTTATTTTAAGTGACGAGACTCGTTGTATCAGGCCCTCTCTTCAGTCTGACCACGCAAATTTCGCAACGCTCGTTTCACCATCTAGCGGAGAAAGAAGGTATTACTCGGGCGACAAAACAGGCGATTTTTAATTAAGCTTAGAGGTTTCTTTTAGGCTTGAAGATCTTTTGCATGCAATAAATCTACAACATGGCACAGCCGGATTTACTTCCCGTCCGAAGTATTTTTTCGCCCTGAAAACTCCACGCTTTTGGTCGGGATTGAACTCGGAAACTTGGATACAAATACGCTAACCGCTATACCACCGTACCCGCAAATACAACAAGCACTCCACCTCCAGGACTAAATAGCGTTAAGGACGCAAATAGGGAACGAGCCACAGGGGAGCGCGCGCGGGCGCAGGGGACTCACCCGGTGTCGTGCATGGTGTAGTCGCCGCGCTCCACGGCCTTGCGCAGCGCGGCCTGCGCCCTGGGGGTGACGAGGGCGCCGGGCGGCGCCGCCTCCACGCCCCGCGCCACGGCGAAGCGCTTGGCCGCCTCGCCCACCAGCAGCACGTGCGGCGCGCACTCCATCACCAGGCGCGCCGCGTCGATGGGGTGGCGCACGTCCGGGATCACGCCCACCGCCCCTGCCGCACGCCACGCCACGCCACGCCACGCGCGCCATTCGAATCGACTGGACTCGTCACGGCCCGATTCAACATCACTCGGGCCGATTCGGCTCAGTCAACCGTTCATCCACTTGATTCGTCCTGTCCCGACACGAATGATGACCCGACTTGATATTCAAAGAAGCAACTGACGCGACTGAACTCTGCTACACTCGTCTGGATTTCACTCGAGTCAGCTATGATAGACTTGACCCGATCCCACTCGGTTCGCCCCGACTCGGCTAGGGCACACGCGGCTAAGTTGGACTGGGCTGGGCTAGGCTCTCTTGGCTTGGTTCTGATCGGTTTGGTTCGCTTTGGCTCGGCTCGGTTCGTTTTGGCTCGGATCGAGTCTGTACACCATGAACGCGAGTAGTAATCGAGAATACCCCCATACGTACCTGGAGCAATTGCTCGACTAGCTGAACATTGTGCTCAGGGGCCACTAGAGTTCAACATTCGTTTAGGAATAGACAAAATTCAGTGCATGTGCGCGGCCAGATCGCTTTCATGTACAATACAAAGAAAACAACTGAATTGAGGTCTAAATAAGTAAGCTAATCATTCATAAAAATATTAGAAGAAATAGTGAAAAATCAATTGAACGAGTACTTTATTGAAACAAAACAAATCATAAGAAATAAACAATCAGACTTAACAGAATAACAGCCATGTGAAACTCAGATACAAGCAATTTTATGAATAGACGATTGAAAGATGAATATTGATACAAAAAATAATTCAGGAGTTATCTTCTCTCTCTAGAGAACATCGGAAACTACTCGTATTGATGGAACAATACTTATTGAGAAACTGTATAAATACAGAATCGACGCAGATATCAAAAAGTGGTTTATTTCATAGCTTAACATAGAAAGCAAAAAGTATACAAATGTTTTCTCAAATTAAATTAGCATATTTTTTTATGTCCCGCAAGGGTCAGTTTTGGGTTCAATATTGTTTACAATTTACATTATTTATTTAATCAAATGTGTGACGAACCTGTATGGTATTGATTATAAAATTCAATTATATGTTCATGAAACTTTCTTGTATTTGGAGGAACAGAAGCGGAAATTGAATTTAAACTGCAGATTGTATTTATTGCAATACAAGAATGGTTAAGGGTAAAGAAATCAATACTGAATGTTGAAAAGACAAAATTTATGATTTTACGTAATGGAAAATACATAGACGTAAGAGAAACTAAATTATTCACCATTGTGTTAACGAAAATATAACGGGTAACCAAATGAAATATTTTGAATTATGAAAACTCCTAATAATACAGAAATATGTACTCGAAATTAATGTGAAATGCAACATAAGCAATTTAAAGAAATTATTTTATAATAATTATTTATATACGAATAACAATACACACTTGTATGTTAAAAATATTGGAGGTCTCTTTCCAGCGGGAGCTCTAAGCAAATGATTAGTCCGCTTATGCATTAATTCACTCCTATCTGCTTACGTATATGAATATGTAAAATATCATTGACTTTCATACCTGCATTTAATGTTTTCCCATCCATGATAAGGGCATCCATCTCAACCTCGCCATCCACATTCAGCACCGATCCGTAGCCTGCCGACAAAAAAATAGTTATGACAGACCTCTTCACAATTAAGGGATGTCCGAAATTGGGATCCAATACGGCGCTATTTTCCACCATCAAAACGATGATTTACAAAGTGCGGAATGTTAGCAAGGGTCCAACTGGTTTGAAATAAAAGTTGTTCTAATCTGCAGAATTTCAAGTGGAAGTGTTTTACTCAGGCAATAATATCAATTCCAGTAATTAATTTTGTTACTTTTTTTCGAATTATTAATGACCGCGGGATAAGGAGGTTAAATAATTTCAAGAATTTCATAACATTTAAAAAATAATTTCACATACAAAAATCGTGCTTTCATTTTTCTGAAGGTGGTTTTGATGAGTGTGTCTAAGCCGAAATTGCCTGCTGAAATTATTTCTATATTCGCACGTACGGTTGTGAACCGTTACTTCAAAGGGCCTAATTGACATCCAAGCGAGTCTGCAACGCGCTTGTGCGAACAATGAATCACGTAGCGTAATGGATACAGTTTTACACCCGGCTCATGGCAGACTCGTCGAGATTGACTTGACCATGCATTAACGCATACCGTTTATCTCAGTCCCTAACATATTTCTTACTGTACTTACAATCACATTGGTGGAATTTCCAGAGGGAACATCTATTTAGTGGCTTGAGAGCTACAACGCAGCCTGGATTGTATCTACCGAGTGCCCCCACCATCAGCTGATGCGACCCAAGGGCCCTTATTCTCAGTTGGTTTTGATACACCTTAGAAGCGTGGTCCGCATGATTCTCTCGGCTTGATCCGATTCTAGGGAATTGTGCGGTCCAGGTTTACCCGGACCGATTAGGAGAGATTGGGTTGAGGTTTAGAAAGGTGATGTGTAGTGGGAGAATCCAACACGCCACAACCACAAGGGTAAGCATTATTTACTAGGCTGTCCGGGTGACGCCGCGTCCATGGCGAAGGTGCCGACGTTTCGGTCGCCATTCTGCGACCTTTCTCGGGCGTAATGCAAGAATGAGGAAGGTCGCAGAACGGGACCGAACGTCGGCCTTCGCATGGACCCAGCGTCACCCGGACAGTCTAGTAAATACTGGCTCGGCCGCGGAAGCCTACGCTCTCCCAAGGGTACGCATCCACGCCAAGCGGGGTCGAGCTGGAAGCCCTTCGGCGCAAGATTGCGGGTGGCGGCCGCTTCGGCCTCCGGTTGAAGGGCCGTGTCCTCCAATGAGGTGCAGGGGCAGCGGGTCGAGCGCCGCGCGCCGCACGCCCTCCAGCTTGCGCGGCACGCCCTCGTCCGCCACGTCGCCCGCGCCGCCGTGCACCAGCAGCACCAGCGGCGCCCCCGCCCCCGCCCCCTCCGCCGCGCTCGCCATCGCCGCCGCAGCCAACACCACGCACCTCTGCGGAACAAACGAACAACACATTGGTCCTTCAGTTACGCCCGGGTTGCTCAAGGGGCAGGGTTTCCAGTCAGCCCGCCGCCAGGGAAGGCACGCACGCACGATCCACTCTAGTCTATGGCACGCGGGACAATACAGGCAGTTCGGCGCCAATTACTGAATTTGAACAGATCTGATTTACATAGGAATACACAAGATACGTTTCATAAGTAATGCGACCAAATTCATAAAAAAATATTTTACGGAATATCATCATCATCAGCAACAAGGTTTGGGCCTAGTGGCCCGTTCCGCTCTCAAGAGTCTCTTTCCATCTTGTGTGGGGTCTGCCTCTGGATCGTTTCCCCTTTGGTTTGTATTCGAGGATAGTCTTGGGAAGCCGTTCTTGTGGCATTCTGGTTCGGTGTTCGAACCAATTCTTCCTCGTTGAGTCGATCTTCTCCAGTATGCTGGAGATCTGTAGTTCACCTCTGATGTCTTCATTTCTCTTTTACGGAATATATTCGTACAATTAGTCAACTATTTTCAAAAAGCACTCTCTTGCGTTGATACACTACTGAATGCGGTGTTTCCAGACCTGTTTTAGGGAAGTAATTTACTATATACAGGGACCACTTTTTCGTTACCAGAGCCCGACAATAAATTTTCTCTGTCGAAAATTTGCCGCTTTCTCTATACTGCGTAAGCAGCAGCGAGAATGTAAATATACATTGTTAAAAATCGAGTAGTCTGTTGAGAAAGTGAAATGACTTGTACTTACAGAAACGGAATGGACGGTAATCTCTATAAAAGCTTCGCAATAAGTATAAGCAATAGAGGAATATTGTTCGCTGACTGGTAGAAGTGGGCTTCTAATTTGTAAGCTTTCTCGGGACACAATGGTTACGTCTCATGCGAGACTAAATTACAGCAAGAGTGACGCAACAAATGTAACATCTCTGCACGATACATACATGATCGATTAATGACTTCTCTCGCGCTATACAATACCAAAGTAAAGTGCCTAGAGAGTTCGCGCGCGTGCACTCTGCTGACCATAGAGGAGGGAAGAGGGAGTGGGAGAGAGCTACAGAGACAGAACAAGAGAAAAGGAAAGATTGAGAGACATCTTCAGAGAAAGCGAGAGGGAAAGAGCGTGAGGGAGAGAGCGAGAGATCGAGAGGGAGGGAGCGAGAGGGCATAGAGAGGGAGGGAGCGAGAGGGAAAGAGTGAGAGGGAGATAGCGAGAGGGAGAAAGCGAGAGGGCATAGTGAGGGAGAGAGGGAGAGCGAAAGGGAGAAAGCGAGAGGAATAGAGCGAGAGCGCTAAAGCGAGAGTGACGACGCGCTGGAGTGAGGGAGAGCGTGCGAGAGTACGAGAGAGAGAGAGAGAGAGAGAGAGAGAGAGAGAGCAAGATAACGAGAGAGCGAGAGACAGAGCAAGAGCGAGAGGGAGGATGAGATACTTTTTAGCTTAAACAGTACAGCTTAGTTTAGCGTAACGGATGTCCCAAAAGATAGATTTGAATGGGGGTAGTTTTTTTGTTCTGTCTGATTTTTCTTACAACTTGAGTCAATCCCAAGCTCCGATACATGTAGGGTTGCCACCTTGCCAATTCCAGAAAACCGGAGACCGCTGCGACCGGGGGGGGGGTAATTACTGAACTTCAGTTTTCTAAACAAAGAATTATAATTAATATTGTTAGGTTATAGAGATATCTAAAACAAATTTGTACGTGAAACTTACCTATATAATTATTCGTTTTTAACATTTATTTCAATTGTTATTGTAAATCTAAATATTCAGCCTTTGATACGAAATGTTGCATGATTTATATATTTATATATATATATATATATATATATTATATATATATATAGAAAACGGGTTTGAATGATTGAAAACATATATTCTTAGTTTTCGCACAAGTAATACATGACGTGCAGTTCCCACGAATCACAAATGTACCTTTAGCTTAATGTTTCCAAGAAATAATTTTCTAAGAAAAAACGAACGAAAATTCGATCTTCTTCAAAATGAAGATATCAAATAGCATTCCAGGGAGTATATTCTTGAAACTGTTGCGCGATGCGATTCTCGCATAATCGCTAGATGCTGTCTGTCTGATATGCGTAGAAAGAAAGAGACAGCGGATGGCGATAACACGAGAATCGCAAGACATGTTCTGCTCTTTATCTTTCTAATGAAGAAGGAAAGGACAGGTATCTGATGAAATAGAAAAAGCTTTAAATTTGTTGAAAGTTGAAAAATCTATTTATTTTGTAAAAAAAATGAAAATGTATTGAAATTGAAAACAAAACAAAACCGGAGATAATTTTTCAAAAACTAGAGACCGGAGATAAAGCTCAAAAACCGGAGTCTCCGGTCTAAAACCGGAGAGGTGGCAAACCTAGATACATGTCATAAGAGGTGATGGTGCAGACGACCGTGGTTAAATAACGAGAAATTATAGGAAGCTTAATGAAATACATTAATGTAATAAATGTTTAATGCATTCTGAAATTCTGTGGTATATAATTTACTTTGTGAAATAGCCTTACTAAATATCATTCGTACACCAAAAATATCCAGACTCATTCTAATGCACTTTTGGTACTAATAAATCACAATCCAACCAGATGGTAAGGAATTCATTCAAACCACTTACATGGTAGCAATTAAGACCAACATCGATTCTCTGGAATACAACACTTTGATACCTCTGTACAACAATTCTGAAAACTACCTATACCTCTGTGTGTCTAACATGCGTTCTCTCTGTAGCGTATCTGACAGAAGTGGTTAGAAATAAGATCTAAAACCAACAACCTTTATCAGAGTACAAGACTGAGATATACGATACGTCTACAGTTGCCGTATCGGTGAGGTAAATTATATTTTGATGACACAAGCTACAAAACTATAAATAGATGTCAATGTAATCAAAGCAGATTCAAAGATATTATGTCCAGGATAACAAAGACAATATTTTTTGTGTGTTAAATCGCCACCATCGAAATAATATTATTTCGAGAGTGCCGGTAAAACACTGTTTTGTGTATAAAATATGTAACTCTCATACATACCGGCAATATGCTAGGCAAACAATTGAGATACCGCATCAGCGTGTTAAGAGTTCAAATTTGCAGGATATAGTTGAGAAAACACAGTGAAACGAAAATTATCCATATTCCTCCAATTCAACATTCTTTGCATTTGCATTGTTTACATTTTGCTTCATTATTAAAATGTTTGTGCCAAATTTAGGGCTTTGTATAGCAAATACAACTGATTAAATAAACAAGTAGTTCAAAAACATCAACTATGATATTCTGACGACAATTAGCGATGTTCTTTTATACCCATTCGGAGTAAATGTAACACAATTACACTAAAGTATAAATATTCAACATTTCATAGTATTCTCTCACGAGGGTGTAATGGCAATATAAATATATTGGCACATTTCCGACTTGTTTCAGGGAAAGACAAGAGAAAACGAAATATATTTTTTACGCGTCACAAATATTTTGTTGCAGGAAAATGTTAAATGTTCTTGTTTACATGCTTGTTTTCAAGCCTGTGAAAAAGTCATAGGAAAGGGGCACAAAGGAAATGATCACTTCATTCTACTTAATTTTAA